GATGAGCTGGTTAATTTAGAAAAACATGGAAAGATTTGGACTTTTATGAAGGAAGATGCTGTCTATCTTCAGAGAAACAGGGTAGGAGGAAATAAGAATAGTATGGTCTTACATAGAATAAGTATAGGAGTGTATGTGTGGTTTTTTTTTTATAGATATCTATGTATATCCATGCTTAATAGTAGCCTTCTTTAGGGTGGGAGGGGGGAGGGAGGGGAAAAATAAAGTAAAAAGTACAGCAGATAACAAAAGAAAACCAAGAATGAAGCAAAGGAGAGCTGGGTAGCTTTGAAAACAATGTCTAGTATTTATTATATAGGTTTTCTTGAAATGGAAATTTGTTTCATATTAAATCCTCTCTTATGGTCTGTGGTGTACATGGCAATTGTTTTTCTTTTCTCATTTTGTATTTAAGTGTAAAGTAAAAAAAAATTAAAAAAAAAAGTGACGATCTCAGAAAGTCATCGCATTTTCTAAGGACCAAGATTAGTACTCTTAGGTTTTTTTTGTTTTCTTAAATGTGGAGTTATGTTGCTAACTTGGATCCTAGAACATCATGAAATGGGATCCAGACTAAAGGTTTCTTAGGTGTTTTGAGGTAGTTTGAGATAGTTAAGGTGGCAACCTTTTAAATATGCCTTTATAGAGTCATTAAGATTGTGTAGTTTAAAAGACTTAAAATGTGTTTCCTTTCATGTGCCAGATTGGGGTTTATAGGTCTGCAGTTTCTTTGATTAGGAGAAGGTAAAGCAAAAGATGATAAAAATTGGTAGAGTTAAATATGAAATTTTTAGAACTGAATATTGACTTCTGTAATGGAAGTATGGGCTGTTTTGTGAGTAGGAATATCCCTTTTCAAAAGAAGTGGCTATTTGTATATGGAAAAAGTGTATTTGTGCTTTTTAAACTTGTGTTCCATATTTGTAAGTTTTGATTATTGACTTTGTGCTGAAATCTCACCGCCATTTAATGTCTACCATACTCTTATGCTTAATTTTTAGATTTACAGGCATCCTGTCTTTGGATAGCACCTTCTGTGATGAAAGGAATTGTGGTCTGGTTAAATGAACCATGCTATTTATTATTTTGCATACTGTTAAGGAAACCAAGAGAACTCATTTCTGTCTAGACTGCTGCTTTTGCATCATTTTAAGAGAATCAGGTATTCCTGGCATGCAGTGGGTTTCAGGAAATGGTTCCACTGGAGGGTTGAGAAGGGCAGCTAGGTGGTGTAGTGCATAGATCTTTGGCTTTAGAATGATGAAGACTTAATCTCTAGGAGTTCAAATTCAGTTTCAGACACTTATGACCCTGTGCAAGTCACTTAACCCTATTTGCCTCAGTTTCCTCATCTGTAAAATGAACTGGAGAAGGAAATAGCAAACCACTCCAGTGTCTTTGCCAAAGGAATCCCAAAATGGGATCATGGAGTCTCTGAAACGACTGAACAACAGTAAGGGTTAAGAAGGGTGAAGGAAGCTGGACATTTCTTTTTTTGGGGGGGGATAGGCAGTGGGGTTAAGTGACTTGCCCCGGATCACATAGCTAGTAAGTGTCAAGTGTCTGAAGCCGGATTTGAACTCAGTCCTCTTGACTCCAGGGCCAGTGCTATATCCACTGTGCCACCTGGCTGCCCCCCTGAATTTCAGCTATATTTTTCTCTTCGTTGCCACCTGAGCATGCCTTGTTTTTTTCCATATTTTATTGCTTTTGCCACAGTGACTGTGGACCTAACTTCTTATAAATGATCTTCAAAGAAGAAACTTTCTAAGCAGGGAAAACTGCATTTTCTAAGCAGGGAAAACTGTGTAGATGAGGTATATTTTTGTTAAAACTAGTATTTTTTCTCCCTTTGAATGGTCAAATTTGGTGATGTGCGTCGTTAAAGTTGACTAAGTTGAGAAAAATAACAATTACCTGCATAATGAAGATAATTTATCCTATAATGCATTTCATTAAGGTTTCCTTAAAATGCATTTATTTATGTTCTATGGACTGCTAACCTTATTTCTAAGCTGAAGTATGAATTAACTTTTCCCCCATGCCTGCAATGCCTTTACCCCTTTTTGCCTGCTAAAAGGCCTATCCATATGCAATGCCATTTAAATAAAATCCGTATTATTTCCCCCATGAAACCTTCATGGCCACCATAGTTGCTCTCTGAGGTTCTATGGTCCTTTTTCCCTGATCATTCATGGCCCCTAATATTGCCCTCTCTGACAGTTTTTTGTATACATATCTCATTTCTCACAACTAGATAGTGAACTCCTGGAAGTCAGGGAGCATAACATACAATGTACTTCATAACACCTCGGTAGAACATATTGCACATTATCAGACACTGAGTGAATGCTTTTCCAGTGAATGAGCAAAGGAAATCTTTATATAATAAAACATTTCAAGGTTTTATACACACATATACACATATGTATATTGTAAATAAATATATTGGGCAGCTAGGTGGTACAGTGGATAGAGTGTTGGGCCTGGAGTCATGAAGACTCATCTTCCTGAATTCAAATCTGGCCTCAGACACTAGCTGTGTGACTATGGGCAAGTCCCTTAAGCCTGTTTGCCTCAGTTTTCTCATCTGTAAAATGAGCCAGAGTAGAAAATGGTAACTTATCTTTGCCAAGAAAACTCCAAATGGGGTCATGAAGAGCTGGACACTATTGAAAGATGACAAAATAATAAAAAATACTCATATATATCTGTATGTATGTTTATATGTGTTACCTGCCCTTTTGGATTATTCACAACTGGGCTTCCCTTCCATTAGTGAGAATAATTAGGACTTGATTACACATTTTATGCAGAGGGATTTGAGGGCAGAAGATAAGAGACTGAATTAGACTGTGAGTGTTTGAAAAGTTTCTTATTTATTATATATAATGTAGAAACGATATGTGAATAAGGCAATGGAATGATTTAGATACCAAAGTAACTCTAGTTGTTTACATAGTAGAACTAATTTGGCTGATACTGTTTGTTAATCTCAGGAGAGTTACAATGGAAAAAATGTCAGGAGTGGCCTTGGTAACATTTAGACTTGCTGATACAGGAGGGATTCAGGAATACCTCCTTATTTTCACTACACAGTCGAAGCATGTGTGGTCACGTTTCCATGGATGTTTGATCCTTTGTGATAAAGATAACATGAAGCAGCCATCTTTACACAGGGGCTAGGAGTCTTAGCAGTTAACTTTTTGAGTTTTTAAAGTACCATATGTTTTAGTTATGTTCATCTCCCCCAGAGATATAAAACAAGTTGAATTTCTGATTTTGTCAAGAATCATTCTATTGTTTATTTAAATCATGTAATAAAGTAGGCCTTGATTGCTAACAGTGCTTGAGTAGAGAAAAGATTACTGGACTTAGAGATGGCAGGAATCCGAGTTCAGGTCCCATCTCTGATGCTTTCTAGCTACGTGACAGTGGGCAGGACAAAATCTCTGAGCTTTAGTCTCCTTATCAGGAAAATGGCAATATAATAGTATGTACCACTCAGGAGTGTTATAAGAATGAAATCGTATGATATGTATAAAGCTGTCTTTGAAAATCATAAACATGGTATGTATATTTCAACTATTATTGTTTTGCTTAATATGTGGAGCAATTTGGGGGGGGTTGGGAAATAGGAAATTCAGAAAATAGGTAATAGATAAGTGATGGTGTTGTTCATTCAGATGCTGAAAAAAATTAATTTCTTTGAGTTTATTTAGCTTTTTGTTTATTGCTTGCTGAGAAATTTGTAGGTGTTGCTTCTTTGTCCTTAAGAGTTACTGCTATTCTTTTTATTGGTAAACTGAGTCAGAGATATGTGACTCTGCATTGGTAGAGTAAAACTGAGGAGAAACGTGAACTGAGTTAAAAGGTTCTTTGCCTCTCACATTCTAATGTTATTCTTAATAACTTGGTTAGTATTTAAATGGATGATTACGGCTCTCGAAGACCAATGAAGCTAGTGTATTCCCTATAAAAATTAAAAATGGGCAGCTGAAGAAGGCGTGTATGCAGTTAAGTGTCAGAAGAAGAAAGAAATTCACTGGGTGAGTCTGGAGAAAGTAAACTTTGCCTAGGAGAAGCTCTGGAACTCCTTGTATTCCCACAAGGGGAGAAAATGAAATGTACAGCTCTCATACACAGGGGAGCTGGGAGCAGGAGGATCCAGATAAAGAAATTGTAATTTCTTGCCTCATTAACTGGAGAAAGGAAAAAAAGTAAAGGAAAATGAAATTTAGAAAGGGTTTAGTAATGTGTTTGCAGGGACATTATGTGGGGTTGGTGACTTTAAATTCAAAGAGGATATTAAAAAACCTATTGATTGGTTACATATGTCCCTCAAAACTACAAGACCAAGAAAATTGACAGACTGGCCTATTTGCGGCCTCTTTAGTTTGTTCATTTGATGGTAGTTACTCTGCTTTTGTAGGATGTTAGGCTGATGTCCAGGCTTCTGAAGGATACAGTATCAGCTGGGACAGGAAGTTAAGTACACAATGTTGACTTCAAATGTTTATCTTGATTTTAAGAGTTCAGCGTACTGATTTGCAACTGTTTTAGAACTGTAGTATCTTATTGTTTCTTGTTAGCTTTTTTCTTTTTTTAAATCACTTAAACTTCATCCTAAAAATATTGCACATAATATTTATGTTATCATTAAAATGAATTATGTCTCAAGGATTTCACCCTGGGGCAACTGGACTCTCTTGGGTTCTCCTAAAGCCAAGATGAAAATTATTGGTCTATGAAGTCAAACTTTTCAGGCTGTATGAAATTGAGAATGCTGTTGAGTACTTTTTATATTATCAATTAAAGAAATCATTGGGCTGCCATCTTTCAAGTCACTTCCTTAAGCGTACTAAATTTCTCTATGATTATCAGCAGAGCAGAACTAGAGAGTGAAAAAATGAGGAAATTGCATACTGAGAGTTTAGGGGGAAAATTCTTGATGAGCCTAGACATTTTAAAAACTAATGTTTCTTTTCTTTCTTTTTCTGCAGAGGGTCGGATGGTCATTCAAGACATCCCTTCGGTCACCAGCAGAGGGCACCTGGAGAACACATCTGACCTGGTCTCAGATTCCACCTATTATGGCAGTTTTTACCAGCCCTCTCTCTTTCCATACTACAACAATCTGTACAACTACCCCCAGTATTCAATGGCCTTGGCTGCTGATTCCTCTTCTGGGGAAATGGGGAGCACCCTTGGGGGATCCCCAGTGAAAAACAGCCTCCGGAGCCTGCCGGCAACTTATGTGTCTGGCCAATCAGGAAACCAGTGGCAGGTACTGTGTCACCCACAGGGTGAAATGAGCATTTTGTACACTCTACCCTTCTCGTCCCCTTCCACACACAGACACATAGAGAGGCAAATCTCTGACTCTCTCTCTCCCCCTCTTTCCCTCTCTCTCTCTCTCTCTTTTACACAGACTAATTACATAGCAAGTGTAAAAGATTTCCTATTTTCTCAGTTTTGCAGTTTAACCACAGAGGATGAGAAAATGAGAAAAAATCATGGAAAAGGGGCGAGGTACTTCCAGTTTAAAAAAAAAACTCACTAAAACAAATGAAACATAGTTTTCTTAATGAAAGATTTTGTAACTTGGGCTCTATGAACTTAAATTTTTTTATAATTATTTTTAATATAACTGGTTTTCTTTGTAATCCCATGTATTTTATTTAATACATTTTAAAATGGTATCTGGGAAAGGGGTTCATGAGCTTCATTAGGCTGCCAAAGGGGGGTGGTACATGACACACAAAAAGCTTAAGAATTCCTCCTTATGCCTTAATGTCTTGATTCTTAATTTGTATTTTAAATTTGCACTTTTCCTCATTTTCTAAAGTTGTTTTGCCTAACTATGTAATTGGTAAACTCTCAGCAAGAAGTAGCCTGCTAGTAGCTCATCCTCACTTCTCTTTTCGTATGATCAAGGGGCTTTCATTGGGTGTCTTCAGACATGCTAACTTCGGTCCTCTGAATGGCATTGACCATCGTAAGGAGTAGGGAAGACTATTGAACTTTGGATCTGAAAGAATTGGATTCCAGGCTGAACTCTCATCATTTAAATTCATTATGTAACTTAGGGAAAGTCACTTTCTATCTCTGACAGTTTTTTCGTTTGTAAAGTGAGGGACTGGACTAGGTTAAGAGTTCATAATGTGGTGTCTGTGGAGAGATTTCAGAGAACCTATGAACTTGGGTGGGAAAAAAATTACCTCTTTATTTTCAATAACCTCTAACTGAAATTTAGCATTTAAAAATTTGTTAATGTAGGAAACAAACATTATTCCGAGAAGGGGTCCTGGCTTTACCAGACTGCCACAGTCTGGTGACACAAAATAAGTTAAGATCCTCTCACTTTGACAGATGAACTCCTGGGCTTATTATGTTAGCTTAGAACTCTGTATAAATTTTATGAGTTTTCTTTCTTGGGAGGGATGAACACAGGAAATGTAGGTCTGTGTGGAGGGAGAGGATGGAAAGAATCAGGGTAAGATCACTTTACTTTGGGGACAAATTCTATTCCAGTAAACAAACTTTTACAGTGTATGTGTCGTTTGTGGAGTAGACACCATAACTTACTTAACTACTTACTTTTTTTTTTTTTTTTTTTTTTTGCTTTTTGGTGAGGCAGTCTAGGTTAAGTGACTTGCCCAGGGTCACACAGCTAGTAAGTGTCAAGTGTCTGAGGCTAGATTTGAACTCAGGTCTTCCAGACTCCAAGGCCAGAGCTCTATCCACTACACCACCTAGCTGTTCCTTAACTACTTACTTTTAAAAATAAGGTTGTGTATTATTTTCTTTCTTTGGGGGATGGGGACCATTTGAGACATCCATACGTGTAATTTCACTGATATGGAAAGCTCTCAAGTATAGAAACTACTGCCAAAACAGTTTTAGAATTCATCTGTTGCGCATAGTATTAGGGAGTTGTCTGTGATGGTATGTAGCCAGTAAGCATCAGAAGGAAGATTTGAACCCATTTCGTCCAAATTCCAAGGTTGGCCTTTTTCTCACTATACAACCAGTTCTTAAACTTTTCAGTATCCAAACTCTTTTATACTCTGAAGAATTATTGAGGACCCCTAAAGGGGATCTTGTATATGTGGATAGCATATCAGTATTCATCATATTAGAAATTAAAACCTCTTTGCACTATTATGAAAGTAGTCTGGACCTTTTAGACCCCCAGAAAGGGTCTCAGGGACTCCCAGGGATCTCTGGATCACACATTGAGAACTGTTGCACTGCACCCACTTTTGTTATCTTTTAAAATTTGGAGTAGAGTGCTTGAATTTCACTATGCTGAAGTGTTTGTGTAAGGAGTGGTGGCTGATTTTCTACACTCTAATTCCTGTTGTGGCCACATACTAGATAATTTTGCTCCACATTCTGCAGAGATCAGCGGAAAGTTTCTGTGTAGAAAATATACACAAAAGAGCATGGAGATCTGCCTTTCAGGTACATCACGCGCAGATTACCTGAACTAAGCTGATCTTGAAGTTTTGAGGTATTTTTAAAATTTTGCCTTTGGGACTTTGGGGTATCTTTGACCTGATTTCTCCCCACTTTAAAAACTCTTCCATTTTATTTTCATTTATTTGATGGTGATTGAAAGGGATAAGAGTTGATATGATATTGTTTCCAGATACTCTGCCTCCCTTGCCCAAAATGCCACCTCCCTATGTTAGTTATGTCTACCTTTTGAAGTGTCATTTAATCCTCAGAGCCTGTTAAAAACATTGCTTTGCCTATTGCTAAAAATGTTGCTTCTTTAAAGAGTTTTAAAAAATGAAAAGCATAGTTAAAAACAGCTTGAAGCATTGAGGCATTGGTGCCCCCCCCAGAAAGGGAATAAGATTATGAAATAAATTTGTATGGTTTAGTTCTTCTGCTAAAAATTTCTATATTCATCCATTGATCATTTTTTCCTGCTTATTATGTTCTCTTTTTTGCACAGTGTTTGCTGTATTCAGGGTGCTATAGTTCTTTTTTCCTCCAATACACTAATGAAACTTCATGGTTTTAAGGAAGGGGAGGGGGAGGAGAAGGATATTTGAGTTCTGTTGTTAAGAACTGTCCCATGAAAATTTGAAGAAGAATTTTCCCCACTAATTTGATGTATATTTTGTTTTAGTTCTGGGAATGACAGACTACAGTCAGACTTTTTTTTGTTATTGTTGTTTAAGTTTTTTAAAGGGAGAAGATAGACAATGTGGTTATGGGTATGAAGATTCACAGGATAAAGAATGAAAGATGTGAGTATACGTGTGTGTGTGTGTGTGTGAGAGAGAGAGAGAAAATCTGTGTGTGTGTGTGTGTGTGTGAGAGAGAGAGAGAAAATCTGTGTGTGTGTGTGTGTGTGTGTGTGTGTGTGTGTATTTATGTTAAGTTGTAGCTGAGCCTGGAATCTCAGAAATCTTCCCCCTCTCAAATTCCCCAAATCCCTCAGGTGACATTTACTTTGTCACCTTTGCTAATGTCTTTGCTTTCATTGTGAATTGACCTTACTCTAACTGAACCTGAGGGAAGTGTGAAAAAAGGGCCTTGTTACATTCCCCTGGAGGTTAAATAACCAACCAGGTGCTCTTCTGAAAAGGAGGTACCTTTCCCTGGACAGAACCACATCCTTAGTATTGTAGATCTCTCTCAGCTTTAGCACTGTACTGAATTAATTACCTATGATAGTCATTTGAACCAGGCGTTCAGAGATTTCTCTTCTTTTTCCTCGCAAGGTTCCCTCCCACCCACCACGGTTTTGCAGAAATGGGAGGAGCCTTGTCTATGCTTCTGTGAACAATTCCCATTTCTGGTTCTCTCATGATGTGCCCTGTGACAACCAATTGTTTAATCTCACTGTGTACCCATGGGAAAATCCGTCATTTTATTATATACCAGTTATACTCATATTATACTCACTGGGAAGCAGCATGGTACAGTGAGAAAAATACTGGATTTGGAGTCAGAAGGTGGGTTTGAATCCCACCTCTGCCCATTTATTACTTAAATGACCATGGGCAATTCATTTTACTCTCTGAGCCTCGGTTTCCTCTTTTGTAAAATGAGAGGGCATTGGAAGAGATGACCTCTAAGATCCCTTCGAGCAATAGATCTCAGTTCTCTGATCGTACGATGTTGATGGGTCTAGCAAGCTGTGTACATAGACAATGTGGCTGTCACCTCTGAAATGAGAATTTAAGATAACTAGGACAGTGGTTGACTTTCTGAAGAATGGCTAAATAAAATCCTGTAAAAAGAAATGTAACCATGATATTTTTATGGTTTATGGTATTGCTAATTCTCATGCTTGGGATTTGTGCCTAAGTATTTGGTGGAATGGGATGATACCAAAGGAAAGGGGAGGTGGCAAAGCATCAGAAAAAGGCAGGGGGCGTTGCTTCATCAGACAAGTCTATGGCTTTCCTACCAGGCTCTCACATATTTATTTCTGCTTACTTGAGATTAGCCTCTCCCTTGTCAGCCTAGTACAACATGTTTATTTAAGAGATAATGTTGCTGGTGGAGGAGGGCAGAAGGCAATAAACAGCTTTTGTAGGCAATTAAATGCAGAAGTGAAACTGAGCTGCTGGACAACCACAATAGCCATTGATTGTGAGTTGATTCCAGTGCCACATATGTTATTTGTGTTGCATAACAGGACAGAGAATCTGTGATTGGGGCACAAGTCTCTATTGGCTGAAGACAGACAAATTCATCTGAGACTGCTCCTTGGATGAGGGGCACCTGACATAAAACTACCTTGTCATCCTTGGTGATGACAATTCTACAGTTTATCCCTTCTCTCACATGTATTAGGTGCTAAATAAGTATGTACTGATTCAGCCATTCAATTCAGTGCACTTTTTAAGCACCTGTGTGCAAGACACCAGAGGGGAGATTTCAGCAAAAAACAACCACCACCACAGTCCCTGTCCTTAGAGATCTTACAGTCTAATAAGGGCATATGACAGGGACACAAATGAATATGGTACAAGGTAGAATGATATAAGTGCAAAGGAGAGATGCAGACAAAGGGCTGTGAGAAACTTGAGGAGGTCCTGGCATGGTGACACATGTCTGCTACTGGAGAGGCTGAGGGTGGTGGTTTCGGGAGTTCTGAGTTGCAGTAGGGCTAAAGCAGATCGAATGTCCATACTAAGTCCAACACGAATATGGTGAGCCCCTAGGAGTGGGTGGGGGGTGGGGGAACTGGCTGCCTAATGGAACAGGTCAAGCTTATCTGCCTGTCAACATTGGGTTCAAGACTGTGAATCTCTGTTG